TCTTGATAATATTTAAAGGTTCAGAATCAGGCTTTTGATGGATGCAAACTAGGTTTTCTAATATTTTAATACAGCTCTCTCTTAAGAGGCATTTGCAGCTATTCAGTATTTTTTCTGTAGGGTGCATGAAACCATCTTTTATTACTTAAGCACAAGCACCCTCTAGTGGTCATCGTGGGGATCTGAAATCTAGTTCTAATTTTTGTGAAGCTCTCCGATAAATATTCGTAGTTCTTAGAATTCAGAATAAAAGGTGTGTGCGCACGTAAAATAATCTACAAATGTAATTACTACACAGAGCTTTTGTGCTAGAGGTCACTGTACTTGGTTTAACATTTCTGCACAGCCTGTCTTTCAAACATAAGACAGAACAGCCAGTAAATTTTATGGTTTTATATCCCATGGGAGTTTTATTAGTGAATATTCAGCAAGTGTTTAACTTTCAATTTTTCTTTATAGAAGGAAAGCAATCACATTTTCTTAATCTGGAATTAAAACAGAAAAGTAAGAAGAGACATGATATGCTTTTGTAGTGACAGTATTCTACAATTAGCCAATCCTACTGGTCTCATTGGTCATAGGGAGAGTGGTGAGGTGGGAAGGAAGAGTTGATCAGTGTGGGTGAATTACTTGGTAGAGGGAAACACTGTGTATCTGTACTGCGGAGTGCAGAGTGAGTAAATGGGTGAGTGGGGTTCTGATTCTATAGAGAAGAGGTCAATTAGCCCATATTTATTAAAGCTGTTATATATGGTTTCAAGAAGTTGTTTTATATGTTTGCCAGGTGGACTTGCAGCAACTTGAAATGCATTGTGATGCAGATAAAGCATACTCAGAAGGATGCTGTGAACTTTCTGATACTGTGAGTAGAGCGTATGGTTTCTCTCATGAGCTCCTTCACTTATGATAACTCAATGTTAACTTAACTGACTCTTGCATAGCTCTATATGCTATCCACTGCCAGTAAAATCTATCTTCATTGTCAGGTCTGCAAGTTTTGCAGAGCTGTATGTGGAGAGGAAGGCTTCTGCAAATCACATGACATCTAGGGGAAAAAATGTTTGGTAATTTGGAGCTGGATATTTTCTTTAAGGGGCTGAGAGTGTGGTTCAGTGTGTTTTGCCATTATTGTGGGGTTGCAGTTGAAACTGAAGAGTTTCAGCAGCTGGAAATGGGAAGGGCAGGATGTTAGTAGCTGAGATTGAGACTGGGCCCCTGTAGCTTGATTTAAAAGTATGTATAGGATTTCCAGCAGGGCACTAACTGAATATAGCTGTAGAGCTGGAACCCCAAAAAGCATGTGTAGCCTTTTTGGTTCTTGGCTGTAACCAGCTCTACCATAAGAATTAGAAAATTTCTTTTTCTACAATTTAAGGACGAGGCTTGGAATTCCCCCTGTAGTCCAGTAGGAGATATTATCTTGCAACTTGCTCTTTGCAGCACAAAAATAAGGCTACAGACAGATGTAACATTTAAAATGTTTCAAATAGCTTTGAAATGTTTAAAAAGATGAATGTACAGGTGTGCACATCTGATAAAATGCTCCCAAAGTGGCCAAAGCATGGCAAACATATATCTGGAAGGAGTGGGCACTATTTTGTACCATTTTGTCTCGTGTTTACATTGGGTTGATCCTCCAGACCAGTAGCATGACAGAAGGGGGTGGGGAAGGGAGGTGACCAGGGCACCAGTCCCAGGTGCTGTCCCTGAAGGGGCCACAAAATAGCATCCACCATGCCACCACACCTCCAGCAGTGCAGCTACTGCTGCTGCCCTGTGCATGACTGTTCTAGACAGTCTAGCACCCAGTTGTACTTCTGGTCCAGGCATCCCACAGTACAACACTGCCTTTACTCTGACTCCTGGTGCCCAGGGTGCTGGAAGCACCCTCGGACTCTTTGCTCCCCCTTCTCCCCCTGGTTGATGGAGTGGGGAGAGGAAGTGGAACACAGGAGGGAGCAACCTTCTACCATATGCCCTGACTGGAGAGTAGCATCACTGCATGCTGTTATGGCAGTTTTGAAATGCTAGGGGAGAGGCACAAGACTACACATGTGTCCACAGTTGAAACACTCCATTTTTAAAACATTTTGTGTGTTATGTCTGTATGCTCCCTAGGTAACCTATGTCTTCATTTTTAGTGTGAAAGAAGTTGTAAATGTGCCCATGGAAGATCACAAGATCAAGGAACAACAGGCCCCAAGGTATAATTTAAAACGAAACTTTCTAGTTTTGATAATTTTCCATGGTTTTGTCAAAATCATGCTCAGCCCTTATTTTATGATTTTTAGGGGCAAAAAGGAGACAAAGGAGCACAGGGAGAGTCTGGCAGAACTGGAAATATGGTAATTATCATAGGCTTTACCTCCTAATATTAGACATGACCTTTGTTTGCATAGGTTATCTAAAGAGAAAATCAACCTTAAACATGTGTAGCTCTGGTGAACATGCTGGAGACAAGTGGGTAGCATGGCACTGGCACTAGGGAGAGGCAATGGATGAAGTGTTCCTTCCCTCTCCTGAGGGAAGGATAGGCTCTTGTTGAGGGCTAGATGATCCAGTGACTGATGCTTACTTAGCTAACCATCACTTTAGGGTTTTATCATAAGTAAACTTAATACTGGCATAAAGGCACTTAAAATTCACCCATCTAAGACAGGGGTTGTCAACTGGGGGTATGCATGCCCCTGGGGGTACTTGAGATGGCCCTAGGGGGTATGTGCAGGCGGGCAGGGACAGAGCGCTGTTATGAGGTGCTGGCCACCCGGCCGAACACAGGGTGTGGGGGAAGCTTGCATGCAGTGGCTGGCGCCACCCCCCCTTCCGGCACCCCCTCACCCCCCCCCCCCACTTCCACCCACCCACTCCCCCAGCCTGCAGATTGGTGGCTGGGAATACACTGCTGCGTGTCTGGCCACTGTGGGGTACAATAATGCAAAAGGTTGAAAACCCCTTATCTAAGAGTGTGAAAGCATAATAAGTATCCTTTAAAGTCTAAATATTTTAAAGATAAGCTACTCAAAAGGAGGTTTATCTTGGAAATGCTTTCCCCATGTTGTCTGAATGGTCAGGGGAGGTAAAACACTTTACGTTCATTCCTCCAGCATCCTGGGATGCACAGCTCCCAGCTACTCTACCTCTGCCCACCCTCCAAAACTCTAGTGGTCCCCCTGCCCCTGCCCCTTTTTCCCACTGAGAGCAACTGCTCTGAGACCTGTAACTGAAGAGAGACCATGGAGTCTGCCCTAACTTTATGACAGCACAATAGTCCATAGATTTCTGGTGTTATACAGGAAATCTGGGACAGAGCCCTTAGGCATCTGTGTGATTCTTCACCTTCATATTATGATCGCATGTTACAACAGATACAAATTTCAGCTATTAAAAAAGGGACTTGGACTGCAGAACACTGGATTTGTTGGAGATGCCCCTGGGGATCACAACCCAGGGAGCAGTTAACTTAGGTTCTATGAGAAATGAGATTTAGTATACCTAGGCCAGGTACAGACATTACACTTTTACCAGTATGAATGATTGGAAACCATAACAGAATAGAAGTTTGGTACACATAGACTGGTTTAAAAATGGAAGAACTGGGTCTAAGATTTGTCCTCCCCCCTCTCCCCACCACCAACATCAAAGGGCGAATGTGTGTTCTGTTCACGACTGTTCTAAACTATGTCACTTACAGAAAACTATTAGATCAATTCTGCCTCAGGCTTTTTGAATATCTGTACTTAGCTTTAAAGAGTAGATGTGCATGTAACAGTGCAGAAAAAAATCTTGTTCAATACTATTATGTAAACTGCTATTATGGGCTCAACCCAGGAGAGCTGGCTTTTTAGGTACCAATCTCAAGGAGAAGGCTGATGGTGTGCTCACTTATGTCAACAAAAGGGTGAATCCTGGTGAGATTGTTTTCCATTGTTTTCTTATGCAGCATGAAGATATTCTCACAAGTGTTATCAGGTTCCCTAACTTTGCAGATACCAGTATAAATTCTTCTACTGCTTATCCCAGATTACAGCAATCATAAGATGCTGTTGCAAGATGCCTTAAAGTCTAGGGACAGAAATTACAGGTAAACCAATATAAATGATCAGAAACAGGTACAAATCTGTAACACAACAGAACTTCAGTGCACATAAATCACTTTCAAAATGGCCAAAACTGGTTGAAGATAAACCTGGATGGATGTAGTATCAGACTTAACTGATTTAGGTTAAGTTGGTTTACTGAACTTCTGTCCCAGATTCCCTCCAGATTCTAGTTAACTCAGTCCTCCAGCATCCCAGGAAGCTTTGCATCTCCCCTGCAAACACCCTCTTGGAGGGTGGGCGGGCTAGCTTTGGCCTAAGCTATCTGCTCCATCCACACAGGGAGGCTTGCTTTAGCACCCCCTGGTTCTGGCCTTAGCCACTGCAGGCATGTGGCTGCATTTCTGGAATCAGAAGTGAATGTCTGTTCACTTGCTTATTGGTTCAATCTATGAAGCGTACACTAACCTCTGAAGAGTGAATCAATTTAGACTTGGGCTTTTGACTATCTGTACTTAGCCAAAAAGGCTAAAGACTGAATGGATTCAGAGAGCAGTATCTGTCTAGCTGTGAAAATAAGTTCTTCTAGTGAAGTGGATAAGTGGGGAAAACTTGCACTGACTCTGCTCATGATGGAACTTCAATGACATTCACCAGCACTAAATTCACTTAAAAACTAAGTAATTCAATGTTTTTCTTGTTAATAGGGAATACATGGCCACCTAGGAGATTATGGAAACACTGGAAATCCTGGTCCAAAAGTATGATTATAATTATTTTGTTTTTTACTGTATAATAATATCTGAATTTTGTTTTGTTTGGCTTTATACAGTTACAACCATAAACACTTTTCCCTTTTATTTCAAGGGTCTAGTGGGCACTAAAGGTGAAAAAGCAATGAAAGGATTACTTGATTAACAGATATATACTTATCTTATATTGTGCATATGTCCAATTTTTGAACTTTATAGGAAATATATCAAGCTGTATATTTTTTCTATGCCTTTTGTGTTACATATAAAATAATGAGTATGAGAAATAAACAAAAGCAATGACGGTGCCGTTTCTTTATCTCCACCACATTGTGGGTATTTTGATTAGTGCTTTGTAGCCATGATAATTGATAGCGGCTAGCAAGGCCATTTTTGTAGATCATTTTGGAAAAAGGGTTGCCTTTGAATGTAAGCGATCGCACTGAGAAACCCTTCTGTTCCTATGTTGTGGTTTGAAATATCTGTGAGGAAGACATTCATTGCCAAATACTTCATCTGTATATGTGAAATCATGAAGATAAATCCACTATCAGAAATAATTTATGGCCAGGTCTTCAGCTGCTGTACATTGGCATAAGTCTATTAAAGTCAACAGAGTTGCAATGATTTACTTCGGCACAAGGTTCTAACGTATATAATTTGCTTTTGGTTTGAGGTAATACAATCTATTGGAAAATGGTAAGCAACATGTGTTGTTTCAAGTGCAAAGAGTCATTAAACTGAGTGTTCATCATGTACATTAACATAGGTGGTCTGATGGATGTTGCAATTAAAAGATGTGAAAATTTATTTTCCTTGTGATAAATCACTTTTCTTTTAAAGGGTGATACAGGTCCTCCAGGTCTCAAAGGATTACCAGGAGTAAAAGGTTTTAAAGTGAGTACCCTTCCAAATGTTTGAAAACTTCATGGCAATGCATCCATCTGGAATATCTTTTAGTGTAATGAGCAGTATAACAACTTGTGTTGGAATATCATAGAAATATATATGACATCATGGCAGTGTCTGCAGTTGTCATCATAGCTGCAAGTTTGAAATGACTGAGAAGCAGCTATTACTACTAAATACTTACTTTTTTGTCTTAGGGGGTATCTGGATCACCTGGAAACAGAGGAGGACTTGGAGCAAAAGGATATAAGGTATTTACTGTGTTTTTTTAGCTTAGCTGAACTCTTCAAAAAGTTAAGCTTGTAATGTTTTCTGTCTATGCACTGGCTCTTACCTTGGCTATGATCTGAACACTAAAAGAAATAAGTCAAAACCTTGTCAGCAACTAGGCCAAGAGAACTTCATGAAAATCCCAGAGTGCTGGAGGAAGTGGTATTGGTGATTAGGATGGCATTCTTGTCTCTGAGTTACTCCTTAACCTCTCTGTATAGGTTCCACCTTTTTGATGATTTTTGGAAGGGTGTATCTGACTCTTTCTGACTTTTAGCGTGTTTTTATAAGATCCCATGGTGCTCTAGCCAAATTCTAACTTGAGCACGCACTATAGCCCACCTATATTCCATATTTTTATTTCTTTGCTTAACAGTTACCATATTTTCTTGCATATAATGTGCCCCAGAATAAGATACACACCTTTTTTTGAAAGGCAGAATGAAGGAAATCTTTTCTTGTAAGTAATTTAGTTACAGCAGCTAGGAACATGAGACTGCTCATTGTTCTGCTCACTGTGAATCACATGCAGTTTTTACTTTTGTTTGTCACTGGTAAGTGGCTGAAACTGCTTTTGCCGTATTTCTTACATGTAATATGCACTCCAGTTTCCAACACCTGTGTTTTGGTGAAAAGACATGCAATTTATGTGGGAAAATATGGTACTATGTTGTCACTGGTCCAGAATCATTGTTATGTTCCATCTTAGAAGTGGCTGTATTTCATAGGCAACTGAATGATCATTGTATGGAGAATAATACATGAAGTGCTATTACTAGATGGTTCTTGAATAAATAACCTGTAAAATTCATTGAACTAATTTGTTACTCATGACATTTTATGTAGGTTTCGGTGGGATACTAAACACAGTAAAGACTTTGTTTCACATTTGTGTCCATCACTGAATTAGTCGTCTTTTTTAACACTTCAGGGAGAACAAGGAGAACCAGGCATTGTAGGAATCATGGGATTCCAAGGAGTGAAGGTAAAAATGTGCACAAAGGTAAATAAAATGTGGTAAAAATGACCTTGCCGTACCCAAATTGATCATGTAGTGTGAAGACAGGGAGAAGGTAGGGCAAGATGGCACTTCAGAGACTAGCTGGTTCAAAGGGGCATGAGCTTTTATACGCTTCCTCAGATGCACCCTGGCCTTCCTTCTGCCTGTAGTATGTGCCTGTAGAAGGTACCTGTAGATGTGCAGGGATGCTGCTCCGTCACACTGTAATTACAACATGTCAGAACAGACTTGATTAATTGAGCCTGCTGCAGTGTGCTAATTCTCATGTTCCAGCAGCTTCCGTGTCTTGTATACCCAGTGTCCCAGTGCTACAAAATGGCAGTTAAAGCATCCCACCACCATTTTGAAGCATGGGATGCTGAATACACAAAATGCTGCAGGTGCTTTCACAAGAGTGGCTCTCAGAGCTGCTCTAATTAAAACCCCCTCCCCCCCAGCCTCTGGAGCACGTGTAAAGATGCATTGAATGTTTATAAGGACATCTATATAACATATTCCTATGCACAAGCAGCAACCATCTATTGACACCCTAAAATAACTTTAATTTATGATAAAGTTTACCAATAAAAATAAGTTTTAACAAAATCTCGGGTAAAAGAGTATCTCTTGTGCAATGGGTTGCAAAAATGCTGGTGGAAAAATGATCCTTGCATACATGTAGGAGGTGCTCCAAAAATGTAAAGGTGCAGTTCATAGAAAACAAATGCATAGTTTTGGACCTTCGCATACCAAAAGGCAATAGGCTTGCATGCTGAGTGTATGGCCACATATATCTGTTATGTTTCTAGTGGGGAAAATCACCACTCTCCCAGTAGAAACTAAAAGTGTACAAGTATTCATTCAGTTTCTCCCAAAGGACCCATACCCTTCTGGGATAAAGATGATACCTAGAATTCTCCTGTGTTAGAGTTTCTCTTGTAAAAATGAACACCTGTACACTTCTCCTCCATGATCCACAGGAGCTGAATAGCATGTTCCCCTGTGCTTTTCCCCAGACCAGGAACTCTACTCTGGGGTGGGGGGTGGGCAATTCCTCATAGCTTGACTCCTGTGGAGGATTTGGGTTGCTGGTACTCCCTGAGCCTTCCATTAAATTGGGGGCACCCACTGCCCTACTACTCCACTCTTCCCATCCACTGTGGCTAGGTACAGACATTTAAAAAGTCCAAGGTGGAATCAATCAAAGTTACGTGGTTTCCTGTAAGTGGCATAGTTTAGATCAGTAGTGAAGTGAACACATGTTCGGCCTTTGGTGGGGGAGGGGAGGCCCCCCAAACCTTAGACCAAGTTCCGCCATTTTTAAACCAGTCTGTGTGTGCCAAACTTCTGTTCTGTTACAGGTGGACCGGTTTTGTGTGCTGACCTGTTCTGTTCTGGGTATAGACTGGTTTCCAATCACTTATACCAGTAAAAGTGTAATGTCTGTACCTGACCTGTAGGACTGCTGACACTGGCTTCGAACATGCTGCACAGGGGGAAACCCATTGGCCCCTTCCCCCATGTGGCATTTGAAAAGCAATACTTCCAAAAGGACACCTCAATCTGGGGAATGGGTGAGGGGTATTGCCTTTCTCTCCCAGTTCTGTCTATGGGGGGAGTGGCGCAGTGTGGAAGGACTCTCTGCCTGTTGCCCCGACCGAGGTGTCCAGAGTCTTGGGGAACATGGGGAGATTTTCTCTGTTACTCCACTTTTGCCAGAAACAAAAGTAGAGCAGGCACTGCTTCCCATGCCTTCCCCAGACTGGGATAACACTGATATCAGGAAAGCACAGAGACGGGGGAGAGGGGGCAGCTTCAGGCTGAAACTTTCTGAAAAAAATGTATAGCTATAAATGAACTCCTGATCATAGCCTGTAACTATGTGCACAACTTCTGTTGTTGTACTTCTAGGGTGATAAAGGCTTGTCTGGAGCTGATGGTTTACCAGGCCAGCAAGGACCTAGGGTAAGTTTAACTAAAGCACAAGCTTTTACTTAAGTGTAGTAGTCATTTTTAACTGTAAAGTTAATTACTGGGTCAACGTATCAAAGGATTACTGGATCCTCTGTAATTTTGTCTTTCTAAAGATGTTACTGAGCCAGAAGCTAGTGCAATGTGTAAAATTACTGAGGGTAGGAGCTCAGACTAGGTGAGCATAATGATAATTTTTGGCTTTAAAATCTATGGATCTTTTTTATTTTCATAATGGTCAAACCATGCTAGGTATAGAATCATAATATTAAATGCTGGTGAGGCATTTTTATTTTTATTACTACTTTTAAAAAAATTCCATTTAATCACTTTCATTAGTTCTAGAGCATTATTCTTTTAAATTAGTGAAATATATTTTATGGATCTTTGTCTACCCTAGGACATCCTGGCTGACTTCCTTCTTATGGATGCTCAGCTGGCAAACTTTGGATTGTAAAGACTTTTAATATTACCGAGTCTGAGCAGTGTGGAGACAGTTTGTGTGCCTAGAATTCCAGGCACTCTCTCAGAATGCAAACTTCAAGACTGAGACCCCTTATCAGGATGTGGAACCCCCTGTCTAGCCTCCTTGTACCCTAAGATCAGAGCTGACCCCACATTTTTACCTGCGACTTATACAAGTCCCATCCAGAACTCTGTCTTCCTAGGCACTGTGGATTATTGTTTCTCTACTCAGCCGCAATGTGACAGCTACAGAAAATTACAAATAAACTGGGAAAGGCTCATCTAACTATATCCGTTGCTCATAGACACATCACAAGACATACACAGATCTATAGAAAAATAAAATGTACCTGCAGACCAACTGGACCCTATTTTATTTTTCCCATATACCTTCTGAGACTCCTTTGGGCTTCACTTAGTATCTTCCAGTGTGTATAGGTTCTTCTGTGGATCCTTTTGCCCTATAGATTTCAGAGACATTAGGGGCTGGATGGGACCTCATGAGATCATCAGGTCCAGCACCCCCATCATAGGTCAGAAGTCAAGTGGGATCATGTGACTCCAGCAAGAAATAAATCCACCTGTTTTTTGAAGGAGTCCAGAGTAGGTGCCTGCACCACCTCTGTGGAGAGTTTGTTCCAGACTCTGGACACATGTACCGTAAAGAACTTTTTTCTTATATCCAGTCTAAATTGGCCTTCCTGGAGTTTATGGCTGTTAAACCTTGTTATCCTTTGGAGAGCTCTGGTGAACAGGTGTTCTCCCAGGTCCTGATGTATCCTTCTTATGAAGTTGTAGGATGCCACCAAGTCTCCCCTGACCCTTCTCTTCTCCAGACTGAAGAGTCCCAAGTCCATCAGCCTCTCCTTATATGGCCTGCCCTCCAGGCATTGGATCATATGAGTGGCTCTCCTCTGGACTCTCTCAAGCTTCTCCACATCCTTCCTGAAGTGGGGGGGCTGAATACTGGATGCAGTACTTCAGCTGCAGTCCTACCAGAGCCAAATAAAGTGGGAGGATGACTTCCCTCATTGTGCTTGAGATGCATTGGTGGATGCAAACCAGAGTTTGGTTAGCTTTGCCCGCCACCGCATCACATTGGTGGCTCATATACATTTTGTGGTCAGTCAAGACCCCAAGTCCCTTTTGGTCATGGTGCTAGCGAGTGTAGCACTCCTGAGCCTATAAGTATGCTGAGGGTTCTTCCTACTGAGGTGCAGCACCTTGCACTTCTTTGCATTGAAGGCCATCCGGTTTTGGTCGGCCCACCTTGAGAGTGTGTCCAAGTTGGCCTGTATTCCCAGCCTGTCCTGCGGCATGATGGCCCTCACCTATAATTTGGTATTGTCTGCGAACTTGGCCAGTTCACATCTGACTCCCGAATCTAGATCATTGATGAAAATGTTAGAGTAGTGGCCTGAGTACCAAGTCCTGAGGGACTCCACTGGTCACCCTGTGCCATGTTGATTTGTTTCCTTCAACTAGTACTCTTTGGGTCTGACCCTGTAGCCAGTTGCCTAGCCATCAGAGTGTATAATGATCGAGGCCACAGTTCCCCAGCTAACCCATGAGGACATCATGGGGAACTAGGTCAAAGGCCTTCTTGAAGTCCAGATAATAACATCCACATCATCTCCCTTCTCCAGGGCACATGTTACCTGGTCATAGAAGGAGATGAGGTTGGTCAGGCAAGACGTGCCAGTCACAAAGCCATGTTGGCTGGCATTCAGAAGCTCGCCTTCTGTTAGTCTGGCATTGATGGATCCCTTGACAATTTTCTTCAGGATTTTTCCAGGGACAGAAAAATAGACTGATTGGTCTATAGTTCCCCGGGTCATCCCTCCTCCCTTTCTTGTAGATAGGGACGATGTTGGCTCTTTTCCAGTCATCCAGGACCTCGCCTGAGTAACACAATTTTTCAAATATCCCTGCCAAGCAGGATGCAATGATGTCTGCCAGCTCTTTCAAGACTCTCAGGTGCATTCCATCTGGGCCCATGTACTTGTGAATGTCCAGTTTCTCAAGGTGTTCCCTCACCTGATCCACATTGATTTTGGGCCTGTCACACATTCCCAAATTGGTTTGTGTGACACCTGGCAGTGTGATCCTTGTGGGAGGGTAAAAAACTGATGCAAAAAAATCATTTAGGAGATCGGCTTTTTCTTGGGCATCTGATGTAAATTGCCCCATTAGATATGTCACTGGCCCAATCCTGTCCTTGTTCTTTTTCCTACTTCCCACATATCTAAAGTAGGAGTTTTTGTTGTCCTTGATCCCCGTAGCTAGTCTAAGCTCAGTTTGTGCCCTGGCTTTTCTGGACTGCTCTCTGTAGGTGTGGGTGAGTGCAGAGTAATCCTCTTTGGTAATGCTTCTTGTTTTCCAGCTGATGTAGGCTACTCTTTTGAGCTTAATGAGGTCCAACGGTTCATTACTCAGCCATAGGGGCTTCCTTGCTGATTGACTGCATTTCTTGTGAAAAGGGAGGGCTTTGCCCTGTGCTTCAAGTATTATGTTTTTGAACGATGACCATTCCTCATGTACTTCCTTTTCTGGGGGGGTATGGCCTGTGATTGCCTGACTGACCAGTTCTCTCAGTTTGCAGAAGTTGGCCTTCCCAAAGTTAAGGACTTTTGTTTTACTGAGGTGTTTGCCTACTCTTTGGTGAACTAAGAAGGTGACCAACTCATGGCCGCTGTCACCAAGCTTCCCCTCTATCCACAAATCGCTCACCAGGTCCTCCCATTTGCCCAGGACCAGATCCAGCAATGCCTCTCCCCTAGTCAGTCCATACACCTCCTGGGCTAGGTAGAGGTCATTGATGCACATGAGAAAGCTACGTGACCTGTCAGATTTGGCTGTGCGCTCATCCCAGGAGATGTCAGGGAAGTTGAAGTCCCCCATGACGATCAAGCATCAGGAGCATGTGGTTTCAACCAGTTCCCTAATGAATTCCCGATCTAGGTCTTCTTCTTGTTGGGGGGAGTTTAGAGTAGACTCCTACAAGTAAGTCACCCTCCCTATGTTTTCTTCATATCTTGACCCACAGGGTCTCAAGACTCCCTTCCTCGTTTGGAAACTCAATCTGCAGGGAGGTGAGCTGATCTTTGACATAGAGCGCAACACCCCCACCCCTCTTCCCCACACTGTCTTTCCTATGCAAGGTATAACCCTCTACTGCCAATGACCAAACATAGGTGGAGTTCCACCATGTCTCCATAATTCCTACAAGGTCATAGTCATTATCACATAGGAGAAGGGCCAGTTCCTCATGCTTGTTTCCCAAGCTCCTGGCATTTGTGTACAGGCAGTTAAGTCTGCCTTGTGAACCCCAATGCTTCCCTGAGGGGTTAAGAGGGACCTTTCCTTGGGATGTCGCAAAGCAGGATCCCATAGGCTGCCCAAGTTATTGGTAGTGCGGCTGACACGACCTGGGCTATAACTGGTAGTAGACTGCCTGTCCCCCAGCAGTCTTAGATTGACTTCAGACTGGACTATGTTTGATGCAGAGAGACTTTTTTCTAATAGAAGGAATACTTTTGTCTCTTTTTGTCCCTTGTATTATTTAGTTCAGTGTCTGTGATCAGGCTGCCTGCACACATTTTCTGCCATGTAGAGAAATAATTCTCTAAGTCAAAGAAAACTTTGTGCCCATGTGGCAGACCTCAAGTTAGTACAGCAGTTCCCAACCCTGGGTCATGACCCAAATGAGAGTTGCAGGGGCAATGCTGGTGGCACTCCACACAAAAGATGAGCCATGCTGTGTGATGGGAGTGCCCTCGCCCCCATCCCCGCATCTAGGCTGCCATCACCGCTGCTGCCACACTCCGCTCCCAGAAGTGGGTCACAAAAAAAGGTTGGGAACCACTGAGTTAGTAAGTCATAAAAACAGAGGTACATATGATCATAAAAAATACAGTTACATCCTGGCCACGTCTACATGAGCAAGAGACCGTGCAGTTGTTATTGTGCGGTCATTTAGTACTTGCTTATGCAAGTGTGGAAGGACTCATTTACGCAAGCACTAAATGATTGCACAGTAATAATGTCTCATGTAGATGTGCCCCCTGTGTCCTAACCAACCCTGGTATCCCAGGTACTGGTAGCAGTTTAATTATGGCAGCATTTGGCTTTGTTGGCAAATATTTAGAATCTCTGTTGCTGTGTTAGAATGCTATTAGTACCTGTGCTAACTAGTTTAAAGATAGCTTGAGTATATCAATATGCTACTCATTTGTATTTGTAACATAGACATACCTGTATACATCTGATCCTGAAGGGATCCGTTACCTTCAGATACAATAACATTTCCGAAACTATTCTCAGCTGTGGCATACAAGTCGCTGAGGAGTAACACATGTTGTTCTTTACAATAACAATGCAAATGTCCCAAATTTATGGTGAATAACTCATTGTTTCACCATTTCCAGCTTAGTTTCAAGATGGAATCCATGTAGTCATATGTCTTTCTTGTATGTGGCAATCCTGTATATCTTACAGTAGTATTGATAACAATTTATAGAACAAAGTAGTTGTGAAGATTGTACATCTTTTTTCTGTATCTATGTTTGTTTAATTTCAGGGCCCAGTTGGTGATCAAGGGGATTATGGTCTACTAGGTCCGAAAGGAGCTCTAGTAAGCTTTGTTTCTGCCTTACAAGTACTAACTTCTCTACTACATATGAAACTAGAATGGCACAGAGAAAGAGCATATGGTTTAGATGACTAGTAATGAGAAACTGGAGCCTTTCCCCCTCTTGTCACAGATTCCCAGGCTGTTAGTGTTTGGCACGCACAAGTCATTTCCAACGTATGCTAATTCACTGGTTTCTCTAAAATGAGATGGTCTCAACTCAGAATTTGAATAATAAATTTATGGTGTCCCTCTGCAATCACACTGATTTATTTTGGCATAAAAATTTACAAACACTCCTGCTGAGGAGAGCTTACTTACCTTTATCCCAATAGTACAGCTGTTAGAACACTTGCTCAGAGAGCAGATAACCTAGGATCTAGGCCTCTTCACCCAAAGGCGAGCTCTAACAAAGTGCTCTAACTACCTATTTTTGTGTACATCTTACAGTAAGCTGTCATTGGTTAGCATATTTTAAAAGGTTGTGTTTAAAACTACATTTTGTTGGGACCCTGGTCTTGTCAGTGGGTTAGGAGAGTATTTACAAGATTGAGCCCTTCAGGAAACTTAGGGAGAGAAATGCCTAATTTCTAGACCTTGACTTCAGGTAGGTATGAGCTAGGGACTGAGCACCTGACATGCCCAAACTGAAGCACTTCTATGTGTTTGTCAGGGTAGAAACTTCAGGTAACAAGTACACTCAAAAAGGTTGCAAACTGCAGGTGGAGTTTAGGTGTCTCCAGGGCTAGGCAGCAGCTGAATAAAGGGTTTCAGGTCTACTGCTTTGAAGTGAAGCATCTAAATTTAGTCTAAATCTCACTTTAGATGCCTGATTCCAAATTTGGCCTTTAGGATAAAATAGCTATGCCACCAGAACGTCACTGTTTTCTGATGCTAGATTCTCTCTGAATATACTCTCTGAGTTATATTGACCACAGTTAACCTGCACTATTCATTTAATTAAAAGTGATTCATTAGTTGTTTATCTAGGGTTTTACTGGACCTCCTGGAAGGAAAGGTACACTTGGTCAAAAGGTAATGCAGGAATAAGTATCATTTTTCTCTTTTGTAAAATTGCACAGTAGGTTTTAATTTTGCATGTTTACTTAGTCTGCTTTTGTTCATTAACAGGGAATAAGTGGAGACCTTGGACTGCCTGGGAGAGAGGGGGATCCTGGTATAGAGGTATATGGGCTGTGGAATTGTGAAGCAATCAGTATTTTGCTTTTGTGTTCTTGAAAATTAACTCTTTATTTTTAATTACTGTAATTACTTTAGGCCTATCAAGGATTTCAAGGGCCAGAAGGTAGAAAAGGTATTTCAGGATTAAAGGTAAAGATTTTAGATGTTAATGTGTACCTACAAGATATGATTTTTAGTGTTCTTACTTTTCAGTGCAGATTAAAATAATTTGTTTTCTGCATGTCTAGGGGGAGAAAGGATTTCTAGGAGAGGCAGGTCCTGAAGGGCTTAGGGGAACAACAGAAAGTATCATTCTATTCATGAAGGCTTTCAGCATGGCTTTCTGGGAACAAGAAGGCCTGAGACTAACCTGTTATATAGACAGGTTGGTGACCAATAGGCCTGTGGGAAGTGGCAAGTATTCGCTTTGGATTCAGCTGATTTGGAAGGACAGTGATTCAATTTGGACATTGGAGGGGAGAGGAAAGGGGCATCGGGGAGGGAGGCTTGGGGCTGGGACAAGCTGCCCAGCCGGGGTGTGGGGCACGAGACTCGGGGAAGGGGTGAAGGGGGTGTGAGATGTGGGTGTGGCAGCGCTGGGAGCAGGGGCTCTGTCCTGCTGCTGCTTGCTCAGCCAGGGCGGCGGGGTGCAGGGTGTGGGATGCGGGCGCTGCCACTGCTTGCCTAGCCAGTGTGGGAGTGGGGTGGAATGCGGGCACGGCACTGCTGGGACCAGAGGTTAAGCCCTGCTACCTCTTGCCTCCTTCCATGCAAAGTGAGCCGCACCTGCATTGCACCCCATCCCTGCCCTGGCTGGGCAAATAGCAG